AGTCGTGTCCTCTTTTGGAAGGCTAAACAAAGTATTTTCGCTTTCACAACGAAACAGCGTCACACACAGAGTATGCAGCGGCGGCCTACAGTGAGCAGAGGCCGGGGGCTAGCATGAGGAACGGCCAGAGGGTTAGAGTGAGCAGAGGTGGGTGGGCTTGAGAATGGTGCGGCCGGCGATTTCGACGAAGGAGCGTCCGGAAGGACATGTGACGACTCCGGGCTGGACTCCGCTTCGTCCACCGGGAAAGCTGATCCGGTGATCCACAGCGGATATCGTCCTCTTTTGGAAGGCCAAACAAAGTAGTTTAGCTTTCATAAGGAAACACACAGCGCCTTCACGACATGGCGGCGGCAACAATACCACAGCGAGAATAAAAGTTACTCCTCCTTTCTTTGCGTGAACATTTGGGCGGTGTTATGTAAATCTTCCCACATCGTGACGTAGACATGTGGGGGCGTGTTAGAACGAGCCGTTTTAGGTAGGCGTGGTTGACTCTTAACTTTTATAAAAAATATCTCTTTGGATTTGAGACTTCAGTCTTTGCAACTTTACAGATCTTCTTTATGCACCAAGAGCTTGTAACACTCCAAAGAGAAAGGAAAAATTTAAATCGCATCATATGACCCCTTTAAAGACTGTCCAGATACAAAATGCATTAATGCCAGGTGCAAAGAGGGCCTTTTTCTTGTCTATAGGCCACAAATATTTTATAAGCGAGTAAGCTGAGTTTCCTTTATGAAACTAATTAGGATTTACTCTTGTCCTCTGACCTGCAAGTTTTTTCTCTGCCTCTTTTTCCTCCTCCTCGGGCTCATCCTGAGACCGTAGATCTGTCGAGTGCATACTGGTCACAGACACTCCACTACCAGAACGCATTCTCCTAAACAAACAGGAAAGATTTAAGTCCTATAGTTTGCAAGTTTAACCATTTGCATTGTTAGAATAAAAGTTCTCTTAAGTCTAACTTTTAACTTACTTGGCAGACTATTCTAAGGCGTAAAAAAAATGATTATTGACAAAATACAGTTGTGGGCCATCAGTGGGGTCACTCACCTGAATGTTGGAGGTATGAGGTCAGGGGGCAGCAATGGGGGAAGAGGCAGACCGGACATTGCCATGTCAATTAAGTGCATGGCCAGAATAAACTCTTCTGCAGTCAACTTTCCGTCCTGGTCTATATCGGACAGGTTCCTATATAGATAAACAGTGGATGTTTTATGGAGACAAAACTGCTATTTATCTTGCCTTTCCACATGACACCTGATCACCCAAGATCCGATGTTAACATCAAGTGTAAACAGGACCATAGGCAATACAAAAATCCCAAGAACAGCATGTTAAAAGAAATCAAAACACCAGTCGGATGTACTTATAACAATAACCAGATACCAATCTTCATGTTTACGCTGATACAGATCTCTGAACTCTGAGATTTGTTTGAGTTTTAAATGCGAGACAGAGACACAATAAGAAAAATGTGTTGGATCTGCACCAGATGGTGGCCAGCTGGGCCTGCGGTAGACTGGACTGCATTAGAATAGTTCTGGCTTGTGGACCTGAAGCAGAAAAGAAAGAGAAAGAGAGAGAGGGGAAAGAGAAGTGAAAGAAAGAGTTGAGTATGTTGAGTCAGCAACCTCTGCTTCCGCTAAGCTGTACTGAGTAACCACTGTCACTTATCACATGAGCTTTGAGCTCCGCAAATGCATTGAATTAAAAACTAGATCATTACACAGAAAATGTGAATGGTGGCATAGGCATATGAAAATAGTATTAAATAAAATGTTAAAATACAAAACTAATAATAACCTTGTTAAAATTTACAGCTATGCAGCAATTAAATTTGAGATTTAAATTAGCTGAACAACAAAACAAAATACAAAGTGTTTCACCGCATGATGATTATTTTGTGTCATGCTTTGTGTGACGGACACCATACCTGTGAGATAACCACTCATCATTTTGTCATGGCTGTTGAAGAGTTGGCGGTATTTGAGCCGAGAGGACTGAGGCACGGCCCAGTCAATGGGTGGAGGAGCAGCCGGAGCACTAAAGAGACATTGTGTGTGTTAAAGTGGCTCCATTATGCTCATTTACATGTTTATTATTTTATTTTTGGGTAGGATTGGGTATCGTTTGAATTTTATCGATTCTGATTCTTATCGATTCCAATAAGACAAAAAAATCCAATATATATATATATATATATATATATATATATATAAATAAAAAAAAGTCAAACATTTAGATATCAAACATTTATTCTGTCTTTTTACAAAGCATTCTGTTGCAGCTGAATAACATGAGCAAAAAGCAGCAGCCTACAGAACACTTAGGCCTAAAAGAGGAACTTTTGCCTATGATTTTAACAAAAATAGCTAGACAAATATACATTTCAAATATTAAAGTGTTAAAGACAAGTAAACAGTCAGTAATAAAATAGGAATAAACAAATCAATTAGCAACAGCATAAATACAACTGAACCAAATTTCAGGTACAGAAACTGTATTTAAAAGTTTAAAAACACTGCATATTTTTTTCATAAATAAAATATAAATTATTAAAGTTATTAAAGATATTCAGTCAAGATCAGTGAATGATTTTTTTGTTCTTTGATTAACATTAATGACAGGCAGCGCATATATTAGGCTGCTGTCTCAACACCAAACGCATGCAGATCTAAAAATACTGTACACGTGTTTTCTTTCTCATCTATTTACATTCCAAGTTCTTTCCGTTCCTGCACTTAAATCATTTTAAATCACATCATAATGCGAACGAGTACATTAACATGATCTACAGTTAAAAAAAAAATTTTTTCTCAAATGGTACATTGGTTCAGCACCTCTTTTCAGCTGAAACACTCTGTTTTAGTTCCTTTTTGATGTCGCAAAATTATGGAAATAATGGCAGGACTATAAACGAGGCATTTCAGGCAAGTGTTTTCTACAGATTGCTTAAATGCACAAACAGCTATATTACACGCTAAAGGAAAGGTAAATTCATAATATGTGCTTTTAACATCTATAACATTTCTGTGAATACAGTGTAAATGTGTGTGTGTGTGTACCTGGGTGCCTCAACTGACTGGCCCTTCTGTAGCTTGATACTGGAACGATTGAACGAAGGGGTTTTGTTGAGCGCAGCAGCTGAGAGACAGAGACAAACACCCATAAATTATCCTGCCAAAGTAAACAAACTTTTATAAGCTGGTCTAGGTAGTGTGAGTGCTTGTTTACATTACCTGGATGCGAGAATCCACTCATGGGTTGTATCATAGCGGGTGCTCCGTTAGCAAGGGATGGTAAGGCTGGGGTCACTGATGCTACCAGAGGTGGAGACACACCTACTCCTGGCACTCCTGGAGGCAGAGGGGGCAGGGGCATGGGCGGCACTGCTGGCAGGCCTGGCATTGCCCCCATACTAGGCATCCCTGATGAAGGAAATAAATGAAATAATTAATTCATTTAATTACTTAATAATTAATGCAATTTTTTTATATATATAAATAAATGGTTGGAAGGTATGGTTGATGCATTGCTAATTTAATGTAATTATAACATAACATTCTATAAGGTACTCTAAATCTCTGAGGGAACTGACTGAACTACAATCTTAAGACAATCAAGTCCTGAACAAGAGAAGAGTGGTCTTCTGTAGATCTAGAATAAAGCATTTAAAGGGGTGGTTGACTGGTTTTTTTATAGGCTTGATTGTGTTTATGGGGTGCAGTCTAACATGTGTTAATGCTTTGTTTGTTAAAAACGCATTATTTTTCACATAATTTACCTTTATTCCACACCTCTCTGTCCCTTCTCCTCTGAACGCACTGATCATTTCCTGCTTTTATGAAGCCCCTCCCTCAGAAATACACGATGGGCTCTGATTGATTAGCTGGCCCAGTGTGTTGTGATTGGCTAAACCACCTCTAGCGCGCGTCTAAGCGTCCCGCCCCTCAACATAGCGGCATGTGCTCCGGTTGTATTGTAAACAATGAAGTCGTCTATATTGCTCATCAATTTGAGCCCGATTGAGACACAGAGGATATTATTGAAGAGGATCGCGCAGAACCTGTGCAAGCACGGCTTTTAATGGTAGGCCTAAGATTTTTGTTTGTTGTCGTCTCATACTTTTAGATACGCTGTTATTTGTAAATGCTACTGCTTCTGTTAGCTTCTAATATATGGTTTTATTCTGATTAAAGTTTTAATACAGTTCGGCAACCACACGCGCGTCCATGTATACCGCTTCTCATAACTATAGTATGTGAAAATAAGTGTATTCACTGAGCTGATGATCTGAATGAGAGAGAGAGAGAGAGATGCAGAGCAGGGCTAGGCCAGGAACAGGATGAGAACTTTGCTTTAGAACATTGGGTCTCATTCACTAAACATGCGTAGGCACAAATTTTTGCGTGAAATGTGCGTACGGACGTTTTCACGAATAAATCATTATTCATCAAAAACTTTCGTACTAAAATTTATTCTAAATGTACGAAAAAATTCAAGAACAACTTATACCACACGTACGCAATAATCATGTACGCCCGTGGTCTTATAAGCATGTGTAAAGAACCCTACATATAATTAGATATGTTATTTACAGGGTGGGTGAAAAGTAACTAGACATTAAAATTGATAATAAAGTATAATTAGAGGTCCAATTATATAAATAAATATATATATAATTAGAGGTCCTACCAACAATCACCTGATCTATCCTTATGTAAACGGTGATTATTTTGTCTCACCTTGTGTTTGGAGGCATGGCACACTTGGTACTGCTTGAAGACATTGCGGCGCGTGCTCTAAGGAAAGAGCGCGTCTTTAGAGAGCGCACAGATATGTTTGCTGAGAGTGACGAATGGCTGTTCAGTCGCTTTAGGTTGCCCAGAGAAGTTCTTATTGATTTATGCAACTTTTTTCAAATAAAGCCAAGGTAACACTCATTTTACATACAGCACACAGTGGAAATTACATGAATATGGCAGTGGGCAAATGCATGAAGCGCAGCATAAAAGGAAATCACGAGTTTAAAGTTTGTCGATCGCGCATCTCCAGTGAAGCTGAACTCTCCACCTGTCCGCATTCAATTCACACAAACAGGCCGTCATGCAGAGAACACGCGATCGAGCAGGATACAAATGCACACTTCACAGGATCTCACAACTGGATCCGACTAAGTTTGCAAGCTTTGTGAAATTAAATGTTCATTAGTCATTCAAAGATTTGTTTAAATGATATAAATGCTGATGGCAAACAAGAAAGTATTATAATGTTTGCCTTTCTATTACTAATAATATAAAAGCAATCGTTATAATACTTTTTGTATACATTTTAATTCCTTTGTTTAACCGTTGATTATTAGACAGACTTCTATCCGTATTAGACAGAACTGTTAACGACGATGGCGAACAAGAGGGAGAATGTGAGTGCTGTCAGCACCGTCAAAATAAAAGTAAATACAAAATAATAATAAAAACTTTAAAAAATGTTAAATAAATAAAATTGAACGCATCGCCCAAACAGGAAAACTTATCGGCCGATGCCGATATTTAAAAAATGCCAAATATCGGCCTTGGCGATATATATCGGTTGACCACTAATCATCAGTATCATTCAGGATTTGCAACCTGCTACACAATCAGTTTTCATAGACACAGTAGCCTGGACAATTTAAAACTAAAAAAAAAAGGATTAATTTTTACAGAAAAACAATGTAAAAATGCTACAGTAATTGGTTAACTGTAAATTTATATTTAATGGTTTTAGGAAGTAAAAACAATGAACTTCCATATAATTTACAGTAAAAAGGACATTCTCAGAAGCCCCCGCGTGACACATCACATATAATAGTGTTCTTATTTTTGTTATCAGTAATGTACATTAAGGTGTTTTGTGTTAAATTTTATCTTATGTAAATGTTTACTGAATTAATTTAGTGTCATGTGTCTTACCCTAACAGTGTTTTTTTGTGTGTGTATGACCCTGTGGTTCATCTACCAATAATGGCCATGCCTTATGGACAGTACACTTCTGATTCATAATGTGGTTTTCTATTGTACCTGTATTGTTATAGTGGTTATCAGTACAAGTTACAAGGTAAAAAGCAGATTTTGGCAGTAAACTGGTATATTAACATTATATTATTTAATGAAACATATGGTTATAAGTTGTAAAATATACAGCCATCTGGCAATACTGAAAACACTGTCATAAGCATTTTGTGCAAAGAATTTCTGGCAACAACAGCTGCAAGTGTTTTACTGTAAATGCAATGGAATATTTTTTACAATGTACAGTAATTATTGAACAAAAGCACATATTGTTTTATGAAAGTAGTGCACTTGATTATAAATGAATATGTGTTATAGGAATTGTGTACCATATCTGGGCGAGGATGGGGGCAGGTAAACCTGACTGCAGAAAGAAATTCCTTGCCTGGTCACCTAAAGAGAGAGAGAGAGAGAAAGGGGAAAAAAATGTATATGAATATTGAGTAAATATATAAATAAACATACTGTATGGTATAAACGAACAAAATAGAAAGGTTTTGTTCCCACAACTTAAAATTAATGTGGTCTTCAAAGAATCTTATGACATTAAAATTGTAATTGTTTTAGTATGCTAATAAAACATTGCAAAAGTGCAGTTTATTGACTGCACTTGAGTGACACTGGCCTCTGGGGCGAGTGATCTGCCAGCTACAGCTTGAGCAAGAAAGGAAAGCTGAGTCAGTGTGCTCATATGTTATCTAACCTATCAAACCGATTTCCTGCTCCTATGACAGACTATACTACTAAACACAAAAAAGCGTGTAAAGCAGTCAACTACAGTTTTCTTTCTTTTTTTAACATTGCCTATAATGGTTTATTATACGACAATCTTATACCAGTGTCAACTAATAATGCCACAGCAGGCCAGATAACCTAAACCATCCCTTTTACAACCTACCAACCAATGCAAAAAACAATGGGAGATGCGAGTTTGTGCCTCTGCCAAAGCAGAAAAAACCTTTTCACCTTCCTTTAAACATCGTTTCCTCTCGATAACAGGTGTCTTCCTCTGCGCACACACACAGAACGCCTTTATACCCTCAGAGCCGAAAACAGACTCCCTCCCCATGCCTGCCTGACTGTGGGCCACTCACTGCTTCAGCTGTCCTTCAGTCAACACAAAGAGGCTCTTTCAGATCCACTGGTCAACAGGAAACCCACAAGTACCATCTCTTCAGTAGATGTCCAAAGTCCAGCTGGGACAAGCTGGTTTTACTGTTTGCATCTTGTGATTTTGATTAGCCCTTTGGAGGTTAATTTCACATCTACTGTATACCTATGATTGCAGAATGAGATCATGAAATGTGTGTACTTTGAGCATTTCTTTCAATGTAATGTATGAGAAGTTCCAGAATCTTCTTCAGACTGCCAAAATGTCTCCAAAGAGAGTCCAGGGAGAAAGATGGCTTTCTATAACAGGAACAAACATGTCAAAGCTTCAACTAGAGATTAGAAACAAAAGATGACGGAGAAATGACCTTTTCTAGACGAGTCACATGGAAATCAACATGCCACACCCTGATCGGTTTCCTTCTCTGTATCTTTCTCAGTGATTCTGTTAACATCACACACAGTCAACTCACAACTGAAACGTTCACATGTTTACAGCGAATCAAAATTTGAACTCTAAAACATCTGCATTGCGCAAACCTTTACACAAGATGGTTGCTCTTCTGACTAATGTAAACGTGGAACGGTTTTAATGTGGGTCAGCGGCAAAGCCAGAGTTCATCTGTTTCGGTGGAGGAGGAGCTGAGATTTACATTAACACTCCTCAGACGGTTTCTTATAGTACTTTAAGACAGTTGTGAATCTGATCGAAGATAACGCAAGCATCATCCACCCATTTACAGGCAGAAAACAGGAAGTGCAGACCTGTCAACCTTGGATTTTTTTTTTTAGTACCATCAGTGTGGCAGGCGGGGGTAGAGTGGGGGTAAACGGTTTAGTTTTTTACGGTTTACCGTAACTGTTTAGTTCATTTTTGCTATTTAGTTTTTTTTTAATGCTACTTAAAAAAAAAAAAAACTACTTTAATTAAAACTCCAGTACACTTCTGTTTAGGGCTGGGCAATAAGCAAAAATTAATATCTCTGTATTTTTTGGCTAATTTGTGGTATACGGTAGCCTATATATCTCGGTATTTTGTATTTGGATTAAACAAATAAAGTGAATGTAAACGTAGGCATATATTATGTGCAAAAAAAGGGTTAAAATCACATTACATTGTAACATTGCAATCTAAAAACAAATATAATCCTTTTAAAGCAGAAGTTAAAGTTACTAAACTAAAAATCTAAATAATAAAAAGCACAGACTAATTGAGTATAAAGGCTATTTTGATTACCCCATTACACTTTACAGTTAGTACTA